GAGACCTAATTGCTCTTCAATACTTGCCGTGCGATATGGTCACAAATAAAACTCATTGGGAAGCTATAACAAGATTGCTGTGTCGCTTGCTGGGAAGGGGACAAAGGGATAATAACGTCTGGATTGCGGTGCACAGATCGTAGCGTACAGGCATTGGGGGCTAGAAAAGGATCACTTCATCCAGAGGTTTGCGCCGAACTACGTATAGGAGTTCTAAATTGCGGCTTCTTGGTGTTTTGCGTTGTCTTGAGATTTTGCTTCGAATCAGCATATAGGGATTCTTGGGTCAAGACATGTAGGAGTTACAAGCTGATCCATGTACAGGAGTTTCAGATCGTGCTTTTTCGGAGTTTCGTGCAATATCTTCTCCGAACCAACATATAAGGATTTCGAGATAACGTCTAGAATCTCTTGCGGTGTGCAAGAGTTGCGCACTAAACTGCATGTAGAGTACCTCATGATATATATAACAAAGGAATTAGATAGGGTTGTGGCATAGGGAGTTTCAAAACCATTTAGGAGTAATAACAACCAAAAAGTTCAATGCTTTGGAAGAAAAGACTAGCGGAAGAGGCCAGGTAAATCAGATCTGGAATGGAGGAGCCTTTCTTCACCATGGAGGGGAGGGTCACAGTCATAGAAGAAATGATAAAGAAGATTGCAGAGTCCCACACAAACTCTCCACCGCCTGCAACGAGATCGAGCAAAGGTGTTTGGAACGGACGCGAGTGACAACAATTAGAAGGATTGGGCGACATCAGGGTAGCAGTGCTAACTCTGGTGGATTTGGAGCGATGGGATCGATCAAAGGAATGGGAAGTCGTCACTTGGTAGGAATAACACGACATCTGGACGCCTGGAACAAGTGACAGCAGGCGAAATGGGATGACAGACAATTCGAGGTTGGAGAAGATTGATTTGAAGGATTATTATGCGAAACAGGGAATCGTGGTGGGTGGAAACTGGACAGAGGGATGTATCTAATTGCACTAATGCCTTTTGTTAAGGCAATCTTCCGGGCGGCGATTCTGGAGCGTATTGGGATGGACGAGCTGCTTATGAAACGTGCTAGAATTATGGAAGAAAGAAAATCAATATAGGAAGGGAACCCCCCATTCCCACTTCACTGGTGGAATGAACTTCAGGCGAGGAAATTGAGGAGGAGACTCTCACATAAGAAAGTCTGGTGGAATGAACTTCAGGCGAGGAAATTGAGGAGACTCTCACATAAGAAAGCTGAAGATGCAGATTTTTTTTAAGGAAAGGATGCCTATGGTTGGTTTTATCACATGGAGAATATTTTATTGGTAATAGACTAACGGGGGAAGAAAAATTGATGGCGACGTCTCTGTTTTGGAAGGAATGACTCTAGCATGGTATTTATGGAGAGAAAAACATTAACCAATCTGAACAACGAAAGAACTCAAGGTTTGATTGTTGAAGTGCTTCAGAGCCACACGGTAAGGGGATTTAAATGAACGGTTTCTTGCATTAATCCGAGAAGAATCCATAGAGTAGAGGGAGAGATTTGATATGCTATTTGTCCGTTTGAGAAGGATATGAAAAGAAGTGTTGGATGGAAACTTCATAGAAGGGTTGAAGCCAGAGATTCAAGTGTCAATTTACCTTCTGAGACCGCGAGGATTGGGAGAAATTATGGAAAGCGTAGTTGGTTGAAGATAAAAATGTAATGAAACAAGCTAATAGGAGTAACAAAGGTGGAGCACCATATTGAACCATCACAACCACAACAATACCAAAAACTAAAACGATGGAAGCTTTGGGGGAGGCTCGACATCACAAGAATAAGGTGTCAAGACCGAGGGTGACACTCCCTGGGGTTAAGTTTTCAGTGTGATAAGAAGCTTTTCCTAGGACACCATTGTAAGGAACATACATTACAGATTTTTACAGTGTGTGACGAGGATACAAGGGTGTATAAATGGAGAAGGCTGTGGTATAGGAGGAACACCCTCACTTGGATGTGGCAAAAGTTTTATGAACTCGGTGGTGGGTTAACACTGTGAACCACATTATGAAATTTAAGGGCAGATCAGAGAGCAGGACGTGGTAATGTTAATATATAGTGGGGCCACATACAACTTTATCTCTACTCAAATAGTGAAGCAATTGGTGCTTGAGATGATAGAAGAAAGATTTTTTGGAGTCATGATTAGGATGGGATGGGTCGAGAAGGGCAAGGGAGTTTGTAAATGAGTGATTTTAATACTGTCAAACATTCAGTAAGTACCATGGAGTTTCATAAGGGAGAAGAGAAGGTTGTGCTTCGTGGTGATCTTAGTTTTTGCAAGACCCTAGTGTCGACGAATCTGTCGAAGGTGGCACATAGGTTGGAATGGCGAGTACCTAAGACCTGGAAATGGTTGAGAAGATTTATGGGACTTACAAGACACTACTGTAAGTTTTTTAAGGGTTAGAATTTGGTTTTGTGGCCGTGAAAGAAGAAATTGAAGGATAACTTTCACTGGAGGAAAGTGATGAACTAGACTTTTGAGAAGCTGAAGATGACCATGAAAAGGGTGTCAGGGCTGATGGCGAGAACCAGACTCAAACCAGTTTATGAGCGGCAGCCACACGACGTGATCCAACAATAGTTTCTTTTGTTCCCACGTTTTGGACAATGTGTATTTTTAGGAGGGGAGTAATGTTATGATGGAGTCTAAGGGCAATTTAGTCATTTGTCATTTACTATTGTTTAGTATAAATAGGGCTAATATGTTTAGGGTTAGTGTTATGTAGAAAATTGTGTCTTGAGTCTTAGGTTTAGAGTTTAGGAGAGATTTCCTATCCCTCAAATTGTAGGAATTGGGAGAGTTGGCCTACCTCTCAAATTGTAGGTGCTTATCTTTTATTTTATGTGTTCGTAGTTGTATTGTTTGCTTTGGAGAAATAAAATATTTTTTTCCCCCAATCTCTACGGTGAGTCCTATCAGTCTTATGTTTTTCAAGTGAGCTTATCCCTAAAAGGAAAACTAGAGGCAATGTTGTAATTTGATAACTTCAACAGAGATTTTCAATATTATAAAGGATAATGAAATAGAAGCTGACACAAAGCACAAATTATGACAATTATAGAAATCTTGGGATTATAGCATTAGTGATATTTATTTGTTAATTGGTTATTAAAACAAGCAAGGGCAACATGGAACTCTCAAGGATTTGTAGAAAAAAATCACTAGCCAAGTTTTTGAAGGAAATCACTGAGAAAATTCACTAGGTCTAAAGTCAATAGGATTTTTAATTGCAAACTTATTATTGGTCATTATTAATCGTTAGTTTCTATAAATGTCTTCATGCAGATGCTACTCGTTAGTTTGGTTTGTTGCTGTCCCCAGTTAATTATGTTTTTGCTTGTAGCTCTATTAATTGGTTTTGCATGCCATTTAACATGTCATCCTTATGATGACCTTGATGATTTGTCATAGTTTTGAGTGAGATGAATCCAATTTCGGGAAGATGATTTAGGTTTCCGGGGTTTGCAATGCAATCTAGCATGAGATGAAAATTGAAAATAGACAAAAATCACAATCTACAAGTCACTAACTCGTAATTATAGAAATTCAGCCACCTATAATATGAAAGTACAACAAAAGTGCTTCGTAGTCACAAAAATATGAATTTTTTCTAGAAAATAGTGAATAGATATAACATAATTTCATTGATCAATCTTCATAATGTGAAAAGGCATTGAACATTCATCACACATAAAATTTCAAGTACAGACACACCTACCACTAACAAACTAATAGCAAAATATAAGAATAGAAATTTTATAAAAAAAAAAAAAAAGATTCAGGCTTTTACACTATAAAATTCACTTTTTGTGTTTCTGGCATTAATACGCTTTCAAATTTCCGTCAATTACCCCCTTGAAGCACTTTCAAGCCTCCAATATTCCTGCTAGTATTTTTTCAAACGGATTCATACCTCTTTCAGTGACATCTATGTTAGTGTTATCCTTTTTGCTGTTGCATTTTGAAGAACATATTATTAGTGTTGAGATTCTCGTTGGATTTGTTGAGTTTTGTCGTTTGACGTGTTGACTTTTCTTGTATCATACATTATGATCTGCTGTGCTAGGTTGCCTATCTTCTTCATTAGTTTCTCAACTTTTTTCTTAAGAGGAGAGTTCTCTGTGCCTTGGGAGAGTTGACCTAAGATAAAAAACCACCGTATGCACTCTTTCAGCCAATTCTTAATCCTTTGGTGAGAGCCAAGTCTTCCTCCCCGCTCTGAATCTTTATCTCTCCCCAACTGAATCCCCATTTTTTAGTACCTTCGAAATTCTAGCAATTGCGCATTTGCTTTCTCTTTGCCTCACGATTCCATCTTCATCTTACTTTAGGCCATCAACTACCACACCTCGTTTACTGCATAAAAATATCTGTTTGAATCCCTCTTTAGCCATGCATCCTTGTCAACCACCGGTCAAATTCAAATCTAATCCCTTTATAAATAGCCACCTAATGCCTTGGTTTTGTTTTATGATGCCACTGTTCTCTTGTTGAAAAGCTGAAGAGCAGCATGGTTTGCAGTGTTTCTGCTTCAATCAATATCTATGCTCCGGCTTTTCATCATCATAACTAGCCTTATAAGCTGCCTGCAAATCCAACTGTTTTAATCTTCATATTTCTGCAAGCTCATCTCGTTTATTTATCTCTTCTAATTACAGTATATGTTACCTCGTGTTGATGATTCTTATCTATTTTCAGTTTTTGGTTTGTTTTTCCACTTATTAAGGTTTTATGAATAAGGTTTTAGTTTATTGCACAATTGATAGTGCCATTTCCAACTTTACTATCTATTGATATGCAGAAAAAGCGAGTATTTTTCTAATAATTTCGAGTGTTATAAACTTGCCATACATTTTGTTAAATACACAACCGGATTTACGTGCTCATACCATCTAGCATCAGCATATAATTTTCTTGTATGTTCTAGAAACATAACCATTGGACATGTTTCTCAATTCTTCTCAGGGGTAAAGTGGCTGAAGGCATCGACTTTGATAGACATTATGGCAGACTTGTGATCATGTTTGGTGTCCCTTTCCAGTATACTCTTAGCAGGTAGGCTTTATTACTTCGTGCTTGCCTGCGCTCATATCCTATTACAATTGTAATGGAGAAGTTTATTTTTTTGAATAATTTAATCTAAGATGCTTCTAAATCATTCTTTATTTATTATTAAAACTTTTTTATTGGTGCATGTTCATTCTAGAATCCTGATTGCTCGATTAGAGTATTTGCGTGACACATTTCAAATTAAGGAGGGTGATTTCCTGACGTTTGATGCCTTGGTACTTAATTTCCATCTTGCTTTACTTCCATAGTGAGGCCTTTATTCTAGTTTATTGTTTCAAAAGTGTTTATGTTCCTGGGCTAAATTTGGCAGAGGCAAGCCGCTCAATGTGTAGGCCGTGTAATTCGCTCAAAAGCAGACTATGGAATGATGATATTTGCTGATAAAAGGTACTATACTGTTTGTATTATTTTACTGACAGTTTAATTTGTTTTACCCATTTGTAGCGTTCTTATGAAGAATGCCCAACAGTTGTTACTCAATACTTGTAGGTGTTACGACATTTTCATATTAAGGTGGGGGAAAACTCATACATAACTTTGCAGCCATCTGTATACATAGCTTTGATTTAGATTACTCAACTGACCAAAAACAATTTCCTTTATCAATCTTCAATTAATAATTATAATGTAAAATAGGGACCTCTATTTATAGAAAAAGACAATTTTAAACATATTTCTAATCTCATCCAAACCCAACAAACTTCTAACTTAACCCTTTTTCTATTAATGAGAAGATAAATCCTAATAAAATAACTCGAATTAGAAAATTGTAAGAATTTTTTCCTTTGTTGAAATGGGCCTAAAAAGATTTGAAAATGGGTCCAGTTTAGCTTTTTTATGACCTAGTTTAACTTTTTGAAATATGTCTGTGACCACTTGGGCTTTTGTGGACTGATTTGGATTATTTAAAGAATTGTACTATAACTCCCAAGAGTGCAAGGAACATCTTCGGGGACATTTTTTTCCATTTAAGCGATCAGGTGCTAGCTTTTGCAGCTATTTATTCATCCGTTTAACTTCTAAAAGAGGTTTGCCTCTCTATGTGATTAGAAATGTGTGCTTAGCATTTTTTTTTTCAGATATCTCTTCATTTGAAATTATACTTTCAACATCCAAATAGTTAGCCATAGTTCAAATGACTGGATCTGTGAGATCAGCATAGTAATCCCTTACATAATTGAATCAATGTGAAATTCTTAAGATTTGAACCTTTCTAGCAAGGTAAACGTGTCTTCAATGTTAGAAATAAGTCTGAAAAATGAATTAGGAGGGAAATCTATAACTTAGGAGTAAGTATTGTTAGGTTTATCAATTTTTGTACCAAATCATTATTGTTGTTTCTAAAACATTTCAAACAAAATCATTATATTCTAAAATAGATTCGTTCTTTTCGTTTCAATTGGTTTTTGTTTAGTTCATTTTTGTCATTTGATATGGAGAGAAAGACGCATTATGTACAATCTAGATAACTGCACAAAAAAAAATATTTAGATGTAGAACAATTAGAAAATTTAATGTAAGCTTATGAATGAAAAAATTGCTTTACATAGCACCAACATTTGAAAGTTCTGAGAGATGGAAACAGAGAGATGGCTTGTGACATGGAATGAGATTTAGTGATACTGGAGTGAACCCAAATAACAATAAGCAAACAATTACTATTATAAAAAGTCAATATTTGATTACAACTGACAAACTTGATACAACAACACGACACATAACACATGGTTAGTATGGATCTTAGGTGGTGGTGGCGAAAACGATTATGGGTGGCTAGAACAGCAAAGCAGCAAGGGGTGGCGGTCCCAACTGCTTTGGGAGTGACAACAGTGACTGGGAAGTGGATAGGGGTGGCAACAAGTTTGGAAGTGGTGAAGGTGGCTGGGAAAGCAAAATATTGCAGGAAAATAATGATTTCCTACAGTTTCAGGCGTCGATAGCGAAGGAATTTGTTGGGAAGCGATGCAGAAGGTTCGAAAATGGTGGAGGGCAGCTGTGTGGAGTGGCAATAAGCCTGAAAGAGCAGGAAACGACAGAAAAACATTCAGGGTTTGTTTATTAGGGCAGCTGTAGCAATGGAGGGTGATCGGGAGCGACATGGGAAGTATGCGGAACGGTTCTAGGGAAGATATCATCTCTTTGAGCCAATATACAACTGAAGCATCACCTAGAACCCTGATACAATCCTCAAAGGGAAAAAGAGATGCTGTGAAGGACTATCTCGATACAACACTCAAAAACTTCCTTACAAACTTTAATACAATGAGTAGAAAGAAATGAAGGATATAAGTAAAGTTGCTAAAATTTGGAAAGAAATTATCAGTAGCTTTGGTCCTATTGTCTCACTCGTACAACTTGGGATGTCGTGCTCAGTCTTCGATTGCTGGAAAAACCCGTGTGCTAGATGTGAACTTGCATGCGAGACGTGACTTCGTGTGAGGCTTTGGATGCCCCACATCAGTTTCTCGTTGTTAGGGGAGTTTAACCTTATCTGTTAAAACTTTTGACTTCTATTGATATGGTGTTAGGTTGACCCAATTGATTGTATTTAGTTTCTTTGTAAGTCAGTCCTATTGGAGTTGCCATTTCGAAACACATCTTGATATAATAAATTGTTGTCCTCCTTGCGTACAATCTGAGCTGGAGATGAATATTTTCGTAGATTTTCATAAAGTAATTCTCGAGGCCTTAGATCCGTAATTTGTCTCTTCCTCTCGTACTTCACAAAGCGCATCCGAAAAGCAAATTCGTTTGGAATAACTAACTCTGGAATGAAATTTGTGACATGCTTTCTTACTTTCAGTGGAAACCGCTCAGGAGAAGCCTCTTTTTCTCGGGAAGGAACTGGATCCCACTATAGGATGTTCTTTCCTTCGAAGATCGTATTGCAATTTCTAACACTGTGGTTCATCCCTCGTGTTTGATCATTTGTCTGTGGGTATACTTTTGAACTGATTTTAATAGCCACATAACTTCATATAACCTTCCAAAAGTAGCTCACAAGCTTCTCATTTATGACATGTTGAACCACTTTCAGTGGTAACCACCCACTAGGGAACTGTCAGTCAAGATGTCGACAATTCTGTCAATAGTGGTTATCCCTTTTCAAGTATCGACTCTTCACACTATCTTTTAGACCAACTATTGTTAATTCAGTAGGAGTCGCTCTCATGTGGTTAGCTGGAATTGCTGCTGTCTCTTCCTCATCTGCTAAAAGTTTAGAATTTGTTTTGACTTCTACATCTTTTCCTAAATCACTGTTTATTTCTTCAATTGCTCTCTGATCAACAGTTCTACATCTTTTCCTAAATCACTGTTTATTTCTTTTGCTCTCTGATCAACGAAAGCTTTCATTCTCTTGGTTGTGCATTTTGATTCAGTATATCCAAATATGTGGCATTTGAAACACTTCCTGGTTGCGATGGATTTGGGAATTGATTGTTGGAATTTTAGGAATTTATGTTTTTGATATCTTCTATTATTGGTAGCATTACTTTTAGATATATCTATTGTTGGTCATTCCTATTTCATTTTTTTAAGATGGGAATTTTGTGGCTTTCCTAATGTGGTGGGCTTCACATGCTTTTCATCTTTTAACCGAGTCTTAAAATATAGAAGAGGAAAAATTATTAATTTCTACTCCAAAAAAGTACATGCTATCGGAGCTAGGGTTCACATACTGCAGACGACGGCGATATTCTTCAAAGTTTCAACTTTGTACCCACTGGCAACCGAACTTCAACTTTCTACGCACTGGCAACCGAAGTTTTATTTTTTCCTGCTTCAACAATGTGAGAACGCCTGCATTCAGGTGTACCTGAAGCATTTGAAGATGCGATTGTAAGGTGCGTAACCTGGAGCTCTCGAAGACGCGATCACTAATCACATAACTCGAAGCTTCCAAAGATGCAATCGTGAGGACGTGTGCAAAGCTGGAGCTCATCGTAGTCCGCTCGTAAACTTTTGCTTATAACCACTGCTCATACTAGAAAAATGCACGACATTCAATTCTTCTCTGTCGGGTTTTCTTAGCTACATGTTTCTTTCCTGGCTGAGCTGCTCTCTTTCGAAGTTGTAAGTCGCTTTTTCGGCCCTCTATTTCTCTCTAGCAAGTCCTTTTTTGGCTTTCTCCAGTGCTTCCTCCTGTTCTAACGGTTTCTTGACGGTGAATTTTTTCTCAACGAGTTTTTTCTCAACCTTGGCACCATTGGAATCGCGGATCGAGAGATGAACGTTGTCGGAGATATTGTGAGCATAGATTGGTTCTTCTCGCTGACTTTTATGTTTTTGGCATACAAAGGAGACATGTTAGAAGCTTCATGGTATGACATCATGATACACAATCATGCTAGAAACTTCATGGTAAACTTCTGAATTGAAAAGCAAAATCCAAACGACAAGGTCGAGTTTATCAAGCCACTGTTGGGTTAATTAAAGAGCATTTTGCAAATTTGGATGCAATCACTTTCACGAAGGAGTAAGTAGAGCACTTGCCCAAGTTGTTTCAATCTCTAAAATTGTCACTGACTCCGTTTTGCTCTTCAGTACATAAGGTTCACTCTTTAATCACTGTATTGTTAGGTGCTACTGTATTGTTAGGTGCTATTCCTAATTTTATTCATCATTGGATAAATGATTCTGGCACAACTGATTATGACTGGTTGTTCAAATTATTCTTATCATATAGACCTCGTGCAAGCAATAAAAAATGTCAAAATTGTGTATGGTTTTCTAAAAAATTGTCGGAATAAGAACTGTCAAACTCACATCACTGTTAAGCCTTCACATTGTAGCTCGGGGTATTGATATTTACAAATCACGTGTCAAAATATCTTTAGGGTGAAACCATACTTATTGCTACATCCCTCATTAATAGAATATCCAATAATGTTTTAAACTTTGAAACTCATTTTTATGTTTTTCATAAAATTTACCCTACAAATTGGCCGGTCTTTCTTATTTTTAAAGGCATTTGGGTGTACTACATTTGTTCATATTCATAGTCATAATCAAGGATAACTTGATTCCTAAACCAAAAAATGTGTGTTTATTGGCTATACTTATACACAAAAGGAGTATAAATATTTTGATCGAATTTCTAAATAAACAGTTGTTACTATGGATGTCACCTTTTTTGAATTACAATCTTTTTTTGTAACTCATCTTTGAATAGGGGGACAAAACAAACATTCAATTTTTATTTTTCATATTTTTTTTCAAACTGAAGACACAAAATAATATCTCCCTAATTTTGATCATTCAACCTGAAAATCCAAGCTATATTATATCATGAGAAATTGAGTCGAGTTTCTTAAATATTGAAGACGATTTAGATTTTTTTACAGTGTCATCCAATGATGTTCATAATTTTATAACAACTAACAAAGAGAAAAATATGAAAAAGAACTACAATATTGGTACCATTTGATATTGTCACCCTAGAACCCCCAATTTAAATTCATCAAAGGATATTTTTCTATCTTTTTTGCATTGTCCTATGGACTACTTTTCTTTCACCCACTAGTGCAATGTGTTTCTTCTTAGTTGTTCATGTCAATAGCTCTCCCGAGTGTTTATTGGTTCACAACAAATTTTTAATATATCATTTGACATATCAATTGGCTAGATTGGATAAGTAAACTAAGCACAAAGGAAAACCATCACTATAATGAATAAAAACCTATTCTAAAAGCATCCTAATATTCTACACATCACTAATTCATTACAAGACAAAGGTATAAAGGAACTACTCATAGTGCATGAAGAAAATACAACAATTCATCTTATAATAAAGCAAATCAATAGAAAATGTGTTTATAAATAGTACAAGACAATATAGAATGTAACATTTAACTTTCTCTATATGAAAAGAGGTGAAAACTCCTGCCCAAGTGATCTCTAAATGCTCCCTGCACTGCTGAATGTATTCCCTTACAAAATTTTCTCAAATCCCTCTCCACTCTCTATAAGAAAATGAAGAAAAAGTAAAACGTAATTCTAAACCCTCGTCTCCCGCCCTCCTTGGCTTCCTCCAAGTCTTCTCAATGATTAGGGGGGCTTTGTTGAACTACATCCGTAGCCTCTTAACTCCCAAATTCGTGTCAAACTAGTTACAGAAACTGCCCCGGGTAGTTCTGGTGCCTAGGCCCCCTCACTTAGGAACTAATGGCTCTGTTTGCTCTGAGAATATTGGCTCCTAGGCGCCGCTAAGTTGGTTTCAAGGCCCCAGAGTGGAGCGCCTTTGTGCCCAAGTTTGGCGCCTAGGCGCCAGTATGCTGAAACATTGTTGTTCCCCAAGTGCTCCATTTTGCCTCAATTTCGCTCCATTTCAGCTCTAATTCTCCTACCTGTTATACCTGCAAGAAAAACACAAAAATACATTTCTTTAAAGTATAATTTCATCAAAAATAAGTGTTAAATGTAAAGGAAATTAAACATGTTACAGGACATATCATAGGCCTACAAACACTTTAATTGATCCAAATCAGAAATTAAGAGATTGAAAGGAAGGTGGCCTAGTGAATACAACTCGATATTAGAAGTTGGTGTGAAAGTTAATATACTTATAGCATGCATGGCTATATATCGCATTTGCTATAAGTTTGATAAGCCAATTTATGCATTCTTCTAGACAATGACTTACTCTTTCAAAAGACCCCACAACATCATATAGAGGCATACACTTATGTAGATTGGGTGTGCTTAGTTGTTAATAGGAGATCGACTTTCTAATATTGTACTCATGTCTAGGTAATTTTTGTTACATGAAGAAGTAAGAAACAAAATGTTGTGGCAAGGAGTAGTGCTGAGGCAAAATATCAAACTATGGCTAATGGAATATGTGTGATGTTATGGCTAAAAAGAATTCTTGAAGAGCTGCAAATTTTGATAAACATGCCACCGAAGTTGTGTTGTGTCAATAAAGCTGACATCGGAACTGTAGAAAATCCAGTGCAACATGATTGCACAAAACATGTGGAGATTGATACACTTCCTAAAAGAGAAGCTTGATTGTGGAGCTATTTGCATGCTTTTCACTCCGACATCACAACAAATAACATATATCTTCACCAACGGACTTTTCAAGTTTAGTTTTGATTTCCTTGTAAGCAAGTTGGGCATGATAGATATTTATGCTCCAACTTGGGGTGGGGTGGGGTGTTAGGAATTTTAGGAATTTCTATTTTGATATTTTCTATTTTTATTGTTTTCTATTTTTAATAGTTTTATTTTTAGAATAATATATTATTGGTAAATGTTATTTCCTTTTTCTAGTATGAGGATTTTGTAGCCTTTTCAATGTGGTGGTCTTTCCCTTCTATTTATCTTGTACCAAGTCTTAGGAAATTGAAGAGGAAAAATTATGATTCCGTACGACCTCTTTAACTCAGGTTTGATCCCTACGAGGATGGATAACACATATGAAGAGTGATATTCTTAAATTAGAAACAAATTTGTTGCCATCGAAAGTGCTTAGTTTGCTCTGGATTTCATTCTAGAGTTGATTCCTTCTCACAAACATGTGTTAATTAGATACACTCAGCCGAATATGAGTAGGAGAAACAAATTACAAATTCAATGACCCGAGACTTAGTTGGCGAGAAGATTCATTCGTGTACAGTTCCGGCTTTGGTTGTGCAAAAACAGGATGTGCTTCGAAATGATAATGTCTACCTGATTAACTTACTGGAAGTTTGTAACATATTCACTACCTTCAACGTTGCTGACCTAACTCTATACTAAGAGAAAAGTTTGTAACATATTCACTACCTTCAACGTTGCTGGCGACAAAAACTTCAACGAATGAGGTTGAAGCTCCCCCACCCGACAAATTGATGCAAAGGGGTACTGCGCTGAACATCCAACATGAAAAGTAGGCATCCCAACTTCTTACTTGGACCAAATCAGTTTAGGTTTTTCCTTTGGATTGACGGTCGGCCCCCATTTATCGTATTATTATAAATATTCTTTCGTGAGAGTCTTGGGTTATTATTGTTGTGTGTTCGTTCAGGAGAACTGTTTGCTTCTCTGTTTCTCTTCTAGGATTGTATCCAAGAGTTCGAGTGATACTCCGGTGACATCCCACTGTCTTGGTGGTGATTATCTTCTCTCAACCCTTTCACATCCTTCCCATATTGCTCATCGCTCCCCGTCATCCTTCTCTGTTGCAGTTTGTTTCTTCCTGCACCTGCCTTCCAACTGCTGCCATCCACTTCTTTACTTGTTGTCGCCATCTAGAACAGGAGTTGTTGTTCCTGCCTTTTCTGGCATATCCAGCCATTGCTTCCCTCCTTCCACATTGTTGTCGCCTCCAAAACCGGCGCCCATACCCCCCTCTCACTTGCTGCCATCTTCCAGAATCTCCACTGCTTCATGCCCCTTTGCTGCCATCACCTCGACCCCGGCGCCCCTTATAGCTGCTTCTCTGGACTGGCCAAATCTTTATTGTCGCCGCTCTTCCCAGTCATCTGCATTGCATCGACTTCTGTTGTTTGCTTGCAACCCATATTATTGGAAACTTGTTTTTTTGCTTGCCAACTGCCTCGTCCACCACCCCGTCACCTTTCAAGCCCTCGCAGACCATTTCCACCACCACTCTTAGATCCAACCCTAGTTCCTAGTTGGAATTATTATCCTATTTGTTGCTGGTTGTTATGTTTTTCTATTTCTATTTATGATTATATTTTTTTTATTTGAATTCAATAATAATATTCAATTATTACGTGGTTTCTCCGCCCCATTTAAAAACCCTACGCTATGCTTTACAAATCAGTCATGAGAGCCTGTCAATATTTATGATTATTATTTCATTTGCAGATATAGCCGGCATGACAAGCGTTCAAAATTACCGAGTTGGATTTTGTCACATCTGCGTGATGCACACCTCAACCTCAGCACAGACATGGCTCTGCACATCGCACGTGAGGTGAGTCTTTCTCTTCGTTTACTGCTGGAAATTTTACATAAATACCACTTAATGCTCATGTATTTACATATATACCACCTTTCCTTTGCATGAAAAGGTGTTTTTTCACATTTTAATAGTAATTGTATTATTTTTTTATGTTTTTTTTAAATAAAGAGCAGCATACCTCTCTAATTTTATTTCATTAAAAAAAAGTTTACAAGGAAGTGAGCAAATGTACCTCTGAATCCCAAAGAAAGAAAAACTAACAGAACTCACTCAACAACCAGAAAAAAAAAAAAATTTATATGTACTTGAAGCCACAAACAATCCACACAAGTAAATAAAAAAGAAAAAGATACTAAACCACGAGAATAGAAGGAGTATCAAGCATGTCACCCCTAACCAAACAAGCAAGGACCGAAGGCAGCACGTTAGAAAAAAACCGCTC